GAATCAGGCCTATGTATTCTCTAAGACCTTAGAAGGACCAACTGGACAAAGATGAATGCATGAAAATGCCAGGAGAAAGGTTTAGGCTCAGTTTAAGGAAGAAATCTAAGTACACAAGCAGGAAAAAAATTTTGTGACATAACTATAAAATAATAAATATTTACATAATCATAAGAGAAAACCAAAGCCTTTACTTTGTAGCTACAAACTAGAGTTTAACCCACTTCAAGTTGACCCATGTCCAGCATGCACAGATTGTGGGACTCCCATGTTACTGAGGCTGCTTCATAATTGTAATTCATTAAATGGGCATTAAGTGAAACCTGTGCTTCAAATTGTTTGGGTAATGGGGGGAGTCCCTTAATAAATAAGACATGGTCTTTGCCTTCTGATCAAAATAGGGTCCTAGGCCGACTGGTTCCAGCATTTGTGAGTTTATCCGCCATCTTGTGAGTGGTGTTACGGAGGAAAACTTTTCCTCAGCCCACTTAGGGTTAGCGATTGGGGGCCTGTGTATTAAATGGAAACTGACAGATTAACAGGAGAAAAGAAATTTTTATTCACATATGTATGTGAGAACACTCAGAAAAGTGGACTCAAATAGGTGGTTAGAATTTGGGCGCTTATATACCATTTTGATAGAGGAAGGGGAAGAGGAGAAAAGATACTTATGGAATAGCAAATGGCTTTTATGAAAAATAAGTGTAACCTTAGGAGAATGGATGGGGAGACATGATAGTTTCGTGGTAATGTCTGTCTAGGCAATTTCTTATCCTGGTGTTTACTTCTCCTCTCTGGTGACAGGAGTCAGTCTTCTGGTTGTGAAAGTCCCAGGGAGGGGATTTATGACAGTTGAATTCTTTCAGGAGGCTCTGCTTTTAGGCAAATAAGGGAAGTTCAGAGAAAACCTCCTCTGCAACTGTTGATTCTCAAAGGTCTTCAACTCTAAATAATCTTGGTGCCACTGTGGCGTATTGTGGACGCCTTCTCTGGCCACAGAGAAATAGATCCTGAGAGATGGACTGGCAGTAGCTAAGACGGTCCAGCACCCACTTAATAATTTACATG